GAGCATTGACTATTCTTGCAGAAGAACCAGATTCAGATCCCAACACCCATATGGCAGCTAACACCAGACCACAAAATCAACTCCAAAGGGTACAGTGCCTATTTCTACCCTCCAAAGGCATCAGGCATGCACATGGTGCACTAGCTTACATACGTGCAGGCAAAATACTCACACACATTCGATAAAAATTAATAAAAATCTTTAAATTTAAAATTTTTTAAAAGACATTTGAGAATAGCCACAAATTATCAGAACATTCAGTGTGATAGAGTCTGGCCTTTATTTTAACCCAGACCATTCCAAGGGGAAGGTTGACCTTGAGGTTATTATTCTTCCTCAACAGAGTAGTCTCTACTAGAGATGAATCTGCATTACCCTTCTCTTCTATGAGGTTATGACTCTTCTATCTACTAAATTGTGTCAATACATGATCCCATATAATAACACTTGACTTTTAAATGTTTTCAAATGCACAAGAATCACCACCGTTGAGATATGTTTCCTAAAACTCTTCAAAGATGAGCTGAGTTATTTCAATGGCATTGCTCCTGTTCCAGGGAAATTCAGGAAACCAGATTTCAAATGCCGGGTACCAAATTGAAGGCACTGATCTTCATTCAGTCTTTGCATTTGTCACACACAAGTCACCATTCTCCACTATTTGCAATATCCAAAAAGTATGCCCATTCATTCGGTAAAATAAGTAGCATTCCAACCAAGCTTGACAACTATGACACACACCAACACAAGTTTCAAGTCAATGTTCAATTTATATATACAAAGACAGAGCAGTAAAACATTCTGTCACCTAAGATAAAATTAAGAAATACATAACAAAGAACAGTGGCTTGTTCTATATACATATTATAAATAAAGAAAATAATGGACTTAGTGACTCATGATTTGGTGATAAGAGGGTTCAATTTTTTCACTTGTTCTTATAACTCTTGCATTGATGCCACCATAGAGAAAAATATGGATATTTTACCAAGCAAAAATTAGTTTTATTTTAGTAGTTATGAGACAATACTTTGTATGTTATTCCAGAAATGAAATCCTCAGAAACAAGCTATCTACCTCAACCTTCAAGTTTCTATACCAAGTTTCTGTACACGTTGAATGCATAGAGAAATAAAAAGCAGAATGAATCTGAGAGAAGGGCCCAGGGAGAAAACTCCCAAGCCAATTTAAATGTTCCAGTCCATCATTATTCTAGCAATTCCCAAAAACAATCAATGGTGGTTTTTGTTAAAAGTTATTGCAATGTATTATGTTATGCAAACACTGGGTTCACTATCCCATTTTCCTTTAAATATAAATTTAGAAAGCATTACAGTATCAAAATTTGTACTATATACTACTGCATGGCAGCATGTCAATAATGGCACAATTAATTCTAAACAGACAGAACACAAAGGCCAGGTAAGGTGGCACGCATCCACATCTGTAGTCCCAGCACTTGAAAGGCCGAGGAAGAAGAATCATGAGTTTAAAGTTAAACTCAGCTGCATGATGAGTCTCTATCTCAAACGTTTAAAAATAAAAACAGCTGTTAAACCATGTATGGCCTTTAATCCTAGCACTCGGGAGGCAGAGGCAGGTGGATCTCTGTGAGTTCCAGGCCAGTTTGGTCTCAATATCAAATCCAGGCCAGCTGTGTTTACAAGCAGACCCTGTCTCAAAAAGACCAAAAAAAAAAATTCAGTGCTAAAGTAGGAAAAACAAGAACAACAACAAGAGCAAACAGTATTCAATTCCTATGGACAATTCCCGTTTTTTTTTAAAAAAAAAAAAAAACAGAATTAAGGTTTGAATTTTCATGGTTTCACCTATAACATACCAGCTTAGGTTTTTTAGTCTGTGGGTATCTTTTCTACTTTTCTGGCCTTGAATGAATAAGCCACGTACCTCACTTACTTTCACCTATATACACAGTGTCCCTCCTCCACACTAGCCCCTCATTTTGCTAGTCCCGCATATGCACATGCCCTGACAGTTCTTCTCCACCTCCAGGACTTACTCATTCTCCTAAACTCAAGCTATGTTCACATTTATCTCTTCATGAACACTAGCTACTTTGTGTCACCAGGAACACATATTACTTGATGATCACGCACAAGGTGTTTAGATTTACGCAGCATGCACTGGATTCAAACTCTGCAGCTTACCAGCTGTGTGACACTGGGAAAATTGCTTAACCTCTCAACATTTGAATTTCTTTTTCTGAAAAAAAGAAAAAGAATCACTGGGACAGGAGAGGCGTCTCAGTGGTTAAGAGAGGTGGCTACTCTTGCAGAGGACCCAGGTTAGGTTCCCAGAACCCACACGGTGACTAACTACACGGTGTCTTAACTACAGTTCCAGGATATCTGACCCTTTCTTCTGGCCTCTTTGTGCATTTTCATGCATGTAATGCACTTACAAATATGCAGTCAAAACACTCATACACATAAAAATAAATTTAAAAATTTAAAGATAATTATGGGATTATTGTTAAGAAGATGTAAGGCAGTGCTTAAGACAACTTAAGCACTCTTAATTGGCCCTCCTTATTATGGCTACTATCAAGAAATCATTGCAAAGACTAACACACTTGAATTTCATTTCCAAACATGAGAAGCAAGTGCTATTCCTGTGTACTGAGGCAGAGATGAGTGCACATTTTCAAATTTGTTTTTTAAATTGGTCTGTGGGATACAGGAACTTTTGGGCTACACATATAATACTGTTCATTATCATCAATGTAGATCCAGCCCAGCACAATTTGCCGTGATTTTTTTTCATTAGACTCAATAACAATAATAAGGAATCGGGTGCAGATAACCATTTCAAAGCCAAGAAATTTAAACATCCTCCAGACAACTACACACACCTCAATTTTCAAAATTTTGGGGTTCCATCAGAACATTTACCCTCAAATTTCCAAATCTTTTGTAAGAAGCAATACTGTAACAATCTTAAAGAAAATTTTAGTATTACAAACTGAAAATTTCCCCCACCTCATTCATGTGATAAAGGAGTTCTTAAAGACAGCCACTTAGTACTGTTTTAGGATTGTTTATAAGTATGGCAAGATTATAATAAAGCAGGAAATTTTAATAACAGTTTCATAAAACTAATTAGTGAAATAGTGGACAAATCTTTAATTATCCATGGAAAAGCAATTGAAATAAAACACAAATACCATAAATATCTGTCTTTTGAATAGTCTTCAACAATGGAGTCCAATAAAGGAAATAAAAGTCTCAATCTCTTCTAGGGCACTTAGAAATTGTAAATCTTAACACAGAGAAAGATGAAGTTCTTCTATTTGAGTTGAAATTCTGAAAGCAGTTTCTTCTTGAATTTACTTCTGAGAGAAAAGTAGAAATGAAAGAAAAAGAAATCAAAGGACAAATAGCAGTACTGAAATTGCGTGGCCCCTACAACAAAACCAACTACATCATGAGTTTCGTCTAATTAAAGATTTAACTAAGGGGATTAAGCCGTTTTTTTTTTTT